GCATTGAATAATGGTGCTTTACATATTTGTACACAAGTCTGAGTGGACATGGTTTCATCTGTTTTGGGCAAATAACTAGAAGCAGAATTGCTGGACTGATTTTAACCATTCTGATAGGTATGAAGTGATGGCTTACCTTTCCCTATTAGTGGTGCTAAGCATCTTCTCATGTGCTGACTTGTCATTAATGTATGTTCTTTTGTAAATGTTTTACATAGAGTTGCACTTTTGATGACTTGCATGAGATTTCAGGGGCAGTTATTCTATGGCAGTGGTTATTATAGAGAAAGAACACAGAACAAGAAGAAAGACACATCAGGTGGAGCTTGGAGTCTAGGTACAAGCTTCTAAAGTCCACTTTGGGGCAGGGATATATACAGAACATACTTTGGTGAAATGCAGCAGTGAAATGCAGTGAAATGCAGCAAGAGCTCACATTGCTTCTGCCCAGGGAGTCTTGTCCAAGACTCAGGATCCAGGGCTTCTTCTTGAGTTGGTGATGTTGGCACCTTCTGCCTCACCAACTGTAACAGCAAGGAGCCACATGTACTGTGGCCACAGAAATTTGAGGATCTACATGAAGACAGAAGAGCCACATAATGATTTTAAAAAGATGAAAGTAAGTGTATTATAAAAGTACAGTAGGTATGAGCATAGTCAAATAATGTATTACCACACAATGAGACAGGAGACAGTACCAAAGATGAAGGATCTTGCAAGAGATGGAGCTTTCCATGGGTGGGAGAAAAAATGCCACACCACACTGTTTCTTAAGTGCTATATTCCAACAAAAATTACTTGGTGCAAACAGGCCTCCTTGGCTGGAAGGGATGGTTCCTAGCCTGGGCTAGAGCCTAGGAATGGTCAGCTTTTTGTGTGTGTTAAGAGTTATATCTTTACACTCTTCTCAGCAGATAGCCTCCCAGCAGAAAGGTATGCATGCTGAGGTCATGCAGTGAACACATGCATTTTGCTAACGCTCATCACTTTTAACTCTTTCCCTGACACCAATCTTGATTATTTAAACTCCAAACTGTAGAAGGAAGGCAGGACTTCCCCATAAATGGCAGTGTTTGTATACTCTAGGCAAGGAGTGCAGCAGGATTCAGTGTCTCCAGAAGACGAAACAGCCTTATCAGTTAAATTCATATGCAACCTTCCAAAGGCCAAGTTCTCAGCAGCCAGGTAAGCACCAGTCCCACCAACTGCAAACAATAACATTAAGATGCTGGGTTTACCCTCTCCTGCACATGTCTAGCCAACTCTTTTATCATTTTTATTTGGGTTACAAGCCATATTTTTGTTAAGAGCTTTTTATATATTCTAGAGACAAGCCATCTATTAGGCATATATTTTACAAATGTTTCCTTCCAGTCTATAGCTTCTAGTCTATAGCTTATCCTTTTATCTTCTTACTGGTGTCTCCCAGAAGAAGTTCACGCAGGAAAGTAATATGGCCAGATTTGCATATACCCAAAATGCCTATGTAGAGAATGGATTGCAGGGGCCAGGAGTGGGCTGGGAAGTCCTGGTAGGAGATCAGTGCAGTACTTGGAGTGAGAGCTGGTAGCAGATCTGATTGGAGGTAACAAGGGGTGGAGAGAAGTGGGTGCAAATAAGGAGCTTATAGAAGGTAATAGTGCCAAGGGATGAAAGCACATCATGGATTTCTCACAGAAGGAGGTAGAGTAAGGCTCCCCAAGTTGCCAGAATACATTATTTCTGTTTTCAAGAGTAAAATTCCTATATATGTGTGTGGGATTTTAGTGTTTGATAATTTGGAAATGTGAGGCCCTTCTAGGTCTCACAGTCTCTTGCATCATGTACAAGTTTTTTGAAGTTGTTTTCATAATACTGAACTATTCTGATGCATGTGCCAAGGAGTCTCATTATAGATTATTAATCACATACATATGTATCTATAATGTGGAGTTTTGGTCTAAGAAAATAACTTCATGACTGAAATGGACACAATCCATGGATGGAGACCTCTGTAAAAAGAAGGGCAGAAACACTGCTAGCACAGGAAGCATGAGGACAAGGACAAGGAAATTCATATTCATGTATTAAGCCAATTACCAAATGTACCTTGCAAATCCATAGCACTATCAGTTTAAAATGGGATTTCACATCATTCTGTCCCAAATGACACAGACAGTATTATAAATGAAAAATTCTTTCCCCAGGCAAGGATACAGCACTCCTCTCATTTGGGCAGTGAATGTTATCACGGGAGAACCTTTATGTAAGGCTGGAAATTCTATTTACCCAGGAGCCCGTCACTGTTTTTTTTTCTGTTCTTACAAAATAAACAAAACACCCTGGCAAACTAGATGCAAAAAAGACCTAAGGGAATGGAAAGGAATGTGAAATCAGGTACACAGGTCAGCGTCAATGCAATACATCAGGAGCACAGCAGCCAGACATAATTTCTCTTCTGCTAAAAACAGGGGGCTACATGAATCAATGAGATGAAGGGAGAGCACAGACATTAAGATATGCATATATCTATCTATATACAAAGGTATACATATGTATATTATATATATAATAAGGTGGGGTTTGTTGTGCTGTATTTTAAAGAACAACATAAAAACTCAGAAATGCCTGTATTTTGGGTGGATGCCATATGATACAGACATGAGGCAGGGAGATAAAGGCATCACCTGCAAGGCTGTTGGGCCTACAGCTGCCCTGAGCCTATGCTAAGACAGGGAGATGGCGGCATGCAAGGGCACCTGTTTTCAGATGCGTTCCATAATAAGGGACACATTATTAAGGAGATAATAAGGAGTCTAGCTCATTGTGGTGCTTATGTTGTACGTGCCCGCCCCCCCAAAGGCCTTTGTACATGCTGTTATCCTCCTGAAAACTAGTCCCCTCCTCCCATCCCTGAGCCTTGGGAACCTACCCTTCAGGTCTCAAGGCTACTGTCACTTCCCTACAGTCTACACCGTCATCCAGCAAATCCATTTTATTGAGTCTAAACCCTATTCAATTTCCAGGGTCCTTTTTCAGAAAAAAATAAATAAATAAATAAATAAATAAATAAAATGAAATTTTAAATTTAGAATAAAGTAGATGCCCACAAAATTAGTGTGACTCCCTTAGCTTTGCGTGAACCTGCAGACTCTAGCTGGCAGCGTAACTGTGTGTTCACCTTTGGGGTCCTCTTCAGTTTGCAGTCACGGTTGCTGTGTGATGATTTGATCTCTGCCCACACCCCACTGCACTGCAAGCTTCTTGAGAGCACAGACTGTCTGTTCACCACACACCTACCTGTGGCAGAGAAGTCTTCAATACATGCAATTCAAGTAAATAAATCCTGAAGTGTGAGTAATAAAACTATTCACTTCCCTCACTGAGGCTTCCTGTGTCAGGCCCCGGATGTCAGTACCAAGGGTCCAGGGCATATTGGAATCCTCAGCTCTAAAAATGGGGGAGAGGAGGCCACTGTGGGCACTGTGCAAATACAGTGAGATGAAAGCTGGGGATGCCTAGAACTCAGGGGTGTGGCTTCCACTTCCTACTGGCCACAGCATCTGCTAGAACAAACATGCTTCCGCCCGCGAGTGCTAGGGCACCCCACTGGACTTTTACCAAAGAAGCCTAAGCTAAGTCTGCTGCTTCCTGATTGCCTCTCCTCATATCACATCCCTGACAGTCACATCCTTAAGCCAGTGGGTCCCAACCTAGGGATTATCTGGTGCCCTGGGAGAGAACCTGGCAATGTCTGGGGCATTTCTGTTGTCACAACCAGGGAGGTTTTATTAGCATCTAGTGGACACAGGCTAAGCGTCCTATGGCACACAGGACAACCTCACGGCAAACAATTATGCAGCCCAGGATATCAATATTGCCAAGTGTGAGAAACTCTGCCTCAGACTCCTAGGTTCTTTCTCCTTTTCTGGACACTGCTACTGATTTCAGGGCTTTCTCCGCTTTTCCACTGCACACTAAACAGAGGGGGCAGTGTTGCTTAGAGGATAAGAGGGAAGATACCAGCGTGTCATGGAATTTCAACTGAATGTTCAGTTTATTAAAAGTAGAATAGCTGTTGGAGTGGTCCTATTCTAGGCCAATGACCCTTTCTAGAAAGCTGATTCTGAGTCAGTTGGGTCTGCATGAGATTCTATTTCTAACCAAGTCTCTGGGGTGCAACCCCTGCTGGCCTGTGACTGCACTTTGTGTAGCAAACAAAACAAAGAGCTACTCTTGGGGAGCTTCCAGTCTGGATAGACGTGTACTGGACCCCAAGAAAGCTGCACAGGCTTCAGCCAGAAGCTCTGAGTTTTGACAAAGCAGAGCTGGAAGAGAATTTAATTAAATCCCTCATTCTGGAGGTAGAGAAACCGAGGCTCACGGTGGGGGAGGAAGTGAGCCAAAGTCACACTCCTTACTGTTCAGTTTTTGCCCAAGGCTGTTTGATTCCTAGTTCCTGGGTTATCGGGGTCCTCAGAGACCTCTGCAGGGCAGAGCTCAATCAGAGAGGAAAGTCTGGGTTCCCAAGAGCGTCGCACTCCTGGGGATTTCCCATTCTCTATTTATCTCCTAACACGTACAGCAACACTGGGATATTTTAGGAGAGGTACTAGATTCTTTTTCCCTGCAGCACCACTAAATCTGTGGCAAAGATGAGCCAGGGTAGAACAGAGAAGCGAATTCCAAGTGCACTCCATCAGCGGTGTGGAATAACTACCAACAGAATTAGCACAATTGAAACCTTTTCATAACCTGAGGGTGGAATGACAAGTCCTGGACACACCAATGGCCTCCATCCTCACCTTTCAGAGCTCACCAGAACAATGCCATGGACCCAGCAGTTTGGATGAGAAAACCATTTGTGTGGTGCTGAAGACCAGTTGCTTCCTCCACTCCTAGTACCTGGGACACAGACTTAGATTGGTGCCTATTCCCCTGGAACAGTAGCAAATACCATGGAGCAGCTAGAGAGGAGAGCAACAGCTGGCACATCAGGCATTAATAATATAACAAAGGGATGAAAAAAAAAGAAACTTTTTATTAGTACATTTTGATGTCAATTTATTATTTATCCCTCTGCCAATATTCAAACAGGCAGGCAGTCATAAAACATTCAAAAAGCTTCTCTAAAATAGGCATCTGTTTTACCTCAGTTCCTTTTTAGAAACTTGAAAATCAGGAGACTTGGTGTTTATAGAGTATAGCAGTGTTAAAAATACCTGTATCAAAAATACTGCTTCACATTCACTACTTAGAGTTCAGTTTGAATTCCACGAAAGGTCAGGAGGCAGCCAGATGATGGTTCATAAGGGAAGATGTGATATAGGGTCGTTTCCAAATATTTCATTCCTCAGCTTTACTCTGTTTGAAACAAGGACATTGGCAAGGCCCACTGTTCAGTAATTAGCATCCTGTCAAATCCTGCCAATCAGGACCAGCAGGCCACACCTGGCCCTGGTTAAAAAATGCATGTGGGCAATTCTGATCTGACCCTCAGGGGCCCTGGCGGGCTGAGAACGACATTTAGTGTGCATGCCATAATCACCATTGACACAAAACAAGGAGACCACATTGTCCAGCGGCTCTGAGCAAAGCTGCCTCATCTTGATGATCTGGCACACCGTTTTAGCTTCCTTGATAAATGTCTTTCCTGGCCATGTAGACAGAATGTATCTCTTCCTGGATTAGAAGACTCATCAGAGGTAACATCACTGCAGGAATAAAACAAAGGAAATACCCAGAAAAACAGAAAACAAAGCAAAACAGAAGCCTCTCTCCAGGAGGAGCTGGTGGCAGAGTGGCTGACCGGTGGCCTGCCTAGCTTGTCTTTCCTTTATTCTTCTGGATACTTCTGCCTTTCTGGGAACTGTCCGTCACATACAGGCCATGGTCCTTGATATAGGCAATGACAGAGTCAGGAAGCAGGTACTTCACGCTCTGCCCTTGGCCCAGGGCTCGCCTGACATAAGTGGCACTCATCTCGTTCAGCACTGGCTCCCTGGCCAGGTGAATGTTGTGCTGATATTTGCATAGGATGGGTGAACCCAAGATGTACCCCTTGGGGTCATGCCCCACGCGGCTCACACACACTAAGCCAAACTTCTCCACTATTTCCTGGATATGTGAGTCTTTCCAGAGGTTGGGGGTCTGGAAGGTCTTCAAGACATCTGCCCCGCAGAGGAGTTTCAGCTCAGGTGCAGCTGCAAAAACAAGGGTGGATCTCAGCATAGTTACAGGAGGGCCACTGCCAGGAAAGGTACTGCGCTATCCTGTTGGAAAAGCTCACAAAATGTTTCCGTTGGAATGTACTGAGAACTCAACATTTCCATGTTTATGACTTAAAAAGCACGTCTGAAGCTATTTCTGTCTACAGTTATAAGTAATGATTTCATCAATACCTCTTTTCTTTAATACTGGCAGAGTGCCAAGGGATACAAATAAGCTTTTTTTTTTCTTTTTCTTTTCAGTGCTCTAACACAACTCTGACTGTGATTGCTCTGGACCATGGCAAAGAGCTCTACAGATGGCCGTGCTGTCCCCAGAATTCCACTTTTTGATGGAAATGAAGCTTTTTAAAGCTCAAAGACTAACAAGCTGTGGGCCTTGGACAAGTCACTGACCTACGTGAAATCCACTGCAGCCCTACTTTTGTTAAGAACTGGGACCTGGCACTTTTATATAAAATTTCAACCCACAGGTTAATTATAAAGAGTCTTTGGCTAACCAAAGAGCCTCTGTGACCCCAGTTGGTTGCCTGTTCATTTTCAGTTTCCAATACAACAAAGCTCCAGGACCAGTGATCAATGTGGATAACCCTCTGGAATTTGGTCTAATAAAATGCTGATGGTGATGATAAAATATCACCTAACATTTATGAAGTGCTTAATACCACACTACTACTAGTCACTTATGGTATATAATACCATGTGATCTTCAGAACAGTTTCATGCAGTCAGTTTTGTTGCACTAATTTTGCAGAAGGGGAAACTGAGGCAGGGAGAGGCAAAGGATTTGCCTGAGGTCCTCAGCTAGTCACTGAAGTCAGGATATGAACCCAAGCAGCCACCTTCCAGGTGGGGCATCTCTAACTGCTAGGCTCTGCCACCTCCTGCAGGTCTGGCGGGAATCTATATGCATTATAGCTGAGCAGCCCTGGAGGGCTAGGACCAGGCAGATTTTCCTAGCCCTGTTCAAGTTCTTGGGTGGGATAATCTAAAAAGATAAAAATCATATCTGTGTTAGCATCTTGTTGCAACACCTATGGTCCTTCCACAGTCTGATTCCAGCTTCCATGGAGGCTTCAGCAAAAGCTGGGCTCCTAGAAGGCTGGCATCTGTCGCCAGGAAGCCTTAGTGAGGAAGGGATTTGGGGCCACCACACAGGGTCGGAAACCTCACACAAAGGCTCAGTCATTCCCTTAATGGTGGAACCTGTGAAAGAGTCCAGATGTACGCAGAGAGACAGGTTTACAAAAGAGCTCTGGGTTGGCTGTGGTACGGAAGGCGAGAGACTGGTGGTACCTTGGGAGAAGTCTGATGTCTGGTTTCAGCTGGACACATGCTATTGTAGGGCTACAGCCAAGACCCTTCCATCTCTGGGCCTCCGTTTCCCCATGTATGAGCCCACAGGCACCAGACTCATTCAAAGCAACCAATGTAATTGTGGAAACACACCTTTTAAAACCTTGTAGCAGCATAACAGTGGCCTAAGAAATGACATTCAAACATCCCTTCATTCATGCATATATGAATTCTTAGTGGTTATAAGCTAAGACTCTGGAGTCAGACACCTTAGGTTCAAATTCTGGTTCTGCGATGCAGTAGCTTATGTGATCTCAGTTTTAGAATAGAGATGTTAATAGTACAAGGTATAGGGTTACCGTATAATATTATAGAAAGAACTTACAAATATCACGTATGTACAACCGTGGCTGGCACAGAGTATGTGCTATACTCATGTGTGTTAACTGCCGTTCATTCATTCATCCATTCATTCATTTGCTTATCCATTTGCCTATTTACCTACCAAGCTACTCATCAAAATATCCATTCAGCATCTGTAAATTTTCTGCTCAGTGGCTGGCCCATTTAAAACCATAAAATTCCTTTTAGAAATAATTCAGGAATTCATACTTCTCACTAATGTATTGTGTGTAATGCTTATGTGGATTTATACTGTTCTATAACTGTGAAGTCTTACCCTAATTTCTTGTTTATCCAGCCACTATAGTGTAGGTATAGTAGTAGAAGGTATAGGTGTAGAAGGCCAGTGTTTGGCTTTTTGGATGACAATAGTTTCTATGTAGTCTTCCCATGGGGGAGATTAAATGATGAACTTTAATATCAAGGTCTCCTGGGGAGTCAGGCACAACTCCTATGTTTCTATAGGTCAGAGAGCAGACAACCCCCTTCTTCTCTCAGTGTATTTCGTGGGAACACTTTCCAAATATCTGCTCCACTGTTAGGTACTCTGACTTATTAATAATGGTAGTAAGGAACACTATGCATTCTGGACCTTCCTAGAGAGAACAAGTGCCCACACATCCCTAACTCCCAAATTAAAGGTATGTCTACAAGGCTGGTGGTGCCTGTCATCCATGTGATGGGTCACTGCTTATGGCAACATGTACCTTGGACCCAAACTGCCACCTTGTGGTCTTCAGGCCTCACAAAACCATTCACAATATCCCTTTCAAATCCATTCACATCAATGCCACAGAATCTTCAGACCAAATGATTCTTAAGTCCAAAGTACATAGTTTAAGAAGTTTATAGTTTATAAAGGCTGCCAATATGCTTTGTCTTGACAGCGATACAGTGACATAAATGGTTGTCTGTGGGTATTTGGGGGGCAGTGTGCCTCTGCCTTTGAGTAGCTATGAGCCTTAAAAAGTGGATGAAGTCAAAATTTACATGAACAGTGAGGAGATGCCACCAGCACCTTTAACTTTGGATGTTTGCTTGCCCTAAGTTGGTGACATTCAAGAGAATCAATATTGAGGTCAGTCTTGAGGTGAATCTGGAGGTCATCTGAATTTCAGATATGGTGGTACCTTGGGAAAGTTAGCCCCAGCCCAGGGGCCTGTTTCTTCCACTATAAAATGGGGGTAATAAAGCCTACTATGGAAGAGGGTGGAAACTGAGAGGTTAGGCAAAGAAAGCAATGTCAATTTTCTGCCTGGCACAAGGTAAGAACATAGCAGTAATTGTGGTACCTGTCCTGGCACCCCACACATGCACTCAGAAGGATGGACTTTCGGGCCCAAATAAGAGGCCCCCGGAGATGAAGCTGGGCATGCGCATCTGCGGTGTAAAATGGAAACAGATCAGATGCCTGCTGTTTTTCTGGAAAGAGAATCCCTTGAACTTGCTGATCCACGCTCAGCCCCATCAACCAAAGGGAGAACCCGTCTTCACAAAAGACTGCGTCAGGCTGTTAAGAGGCTGGAGACGTCATTCATTCCACAGTGCCACACCAAGCTGTCCCAGAACACAGCCCTCCACACGATTCTGTGTGAGTGAAGGAAGGGCTGCAAATCACAGAAGTGACGGGCAAAGCCGGGCTCTGGCAGCCAAAATGCTGAGCGCAGCACGTAATTTGCATTTCAAGTATTAACAACACATAATAAAAGACAAGACACCCAAATGGCCCCTTAGAAATATGTCACTAGTCACACACGTGCCGTCTTCATCACAAGTCACAGTGATGCTGAGAAAAACTCAACCTTCCCTTTAAAAACTGCTCTACTTTTATTTTTTCTGAGGACAAATATAAAGAAGTACTTATGCAACACAGAAATACAAAATTAAAATAGAAGGTAATGGCAACAATAAAAATAACTGTCTTCCATAAACACTAACATTTTGGTACATTTCCCTCGTCTTCTCTAGTGATTTAAACATGCAAAGTTTAAACATAAAAGTATATTCATTTTTTATGTACTAGAAGTGCCATGTACAGTATTGTATTCTGATTTTTTGTACTTTGTTCCTGTTTTCTGTATCATCAAGGACTTTTATGTAGATTCTCCATCCTATATATATAGTCATTCACTCACATATTTATTCCCTTGTACTTGAATATTTGGGCTTGCATTTATTTTCTGCCATTGTAAAATTCCTGTGATAAACATCTTTTGTATCAAGCTTTATCACAAAGTTTTTTCTTTTCTTTAATTTTAAAGAGACCAATAAAAAGACAAAAAACAATAAAAATGATACAGAATTTCAAAACAAGATGATGGGAAGTTAACAATGGTTATTGTATAGCATGCTGTTATCTTCAAAGTGGTTGCTCAGATTACCAGGTACAAGCATGCAAGATTGATCAAACAATATAAGTGCTAATGGTTCCTTTCAATGGACTAATAGAAATTAGTAGTACAATTACCTTAGCTATCTTGTGTATATAAATATATATATATATATTTCCCTCCCTTCTTTCTTTGTCTTTTCCCCCATCCCAGTTGTTCTTTCCTTTTGAGCAGTTTTTTTTCCTCTCACTCTATCTATTGTATCTTTATCCCAATTTCTAGTCATCTCCTTAGCCAGGAATGTGTCACTTGCAAAAGGCATGATGATGTTAAGTCTGATATATTTTGGTTAGCTGAAAAACCCATTTTTCATTCCATGTAAATTTCCTTTCTACACAGTTACTTTATTTATTTAATTTCTTTATTCTTTTGGTACTGGGAATTGAATTTGTGACATCGTGCTTGCCAGGCAGGCGCTGTGCCGCTGAGCTATATCCCGGGCTACACAATTACTTTAGACTAGAAAATGACAATTAGAACGTAGGGTTTGAATAGAAAGAGTCTGAACGTTATAGGGCCAAGTGGCCCCTGGAAAAGTGAAGGTGAGGTGAGCTTCAGGAGCTCACCTGAATGACTGCAGCAGGGCCTGGTTTCGCAGGGGAGCGAGTTCTGAACTGAGTCTTGCAGGACAGGCAGGTTTTCAACAGGGGAGCCAAGGAAGGAGGAGGAAGGAGGCGTGGGTGAGACAGGCAGGGGTGAGACAGGGATTCTGGAAGCATCAGGAGAGGTGAAGGGTTGGGGGTGGGAGGCTCAGCTAGTACCCCGCCACCTCACGCTGGCGGTTCCATCTCTTCCAGGAGGTTCCTTTCTTTTTCGAGGCATGGGGTCCCCCACACTGAAGCTGTGCCTCATCTTTGTGTCCTAGTCTGCCCTATTGTCCAAAGTGTACCCCACCTCCACTGCCTGAGAGTCTGCATGGAGCTACCTCCTCCACACAGCTTTCCTGACCCGTGCCTAGGCTCACCTCTGTTCCCAGCCTGTCTCCTGGCCTGGGGCGGGGCCCGCAGAGCATGTGTGGGGCCTTTCAGGAGTCGATGCTGACCCAGAGGAGATGCACAAAGGAAGCAGAAGCTGATGGATACTGGGCACTGAGTCTTAATGGGTTTGCAGGGGAGAAGCCCGTGCAGGGAAAGGAGAGGCAGAGAGACCACAAGATACAATGAACACCGTGTCAGTGGATTACATGGGAGGCACATAAACCCTAAGATCCTCAGGTAAGCACACATCCCCATACTGGCAGCAAAGCAAACCAGAGTGCTTATTAATTGCTGTGCCCTGCCCCCACTCAGGAGGTCTAGAAAGGGCCCGGGAATTAGTGTTCTTAACAAGTCGGCTCTGCTGTGTGGGAACCTTGAGCCAGCATCTGGCATCGCTTTAGGGCCTGGTGGCTTTCCAAGTTCTTTTATTTATTTTTAAATTTTATTCATTCATTCACTCATTCAGTAACCGGGGCTTGAACACAGGGCCTTCACATTGAGTTACATCCCCAGCTTGTTTCTATTTTTCATCCTGAGACCCGGTTTCACTAAGCTGCTAAATTGCCCAGACTGGGCTTGAACTTGTGCTTTTCCTGCCTCAGCTTCTCAGAGTGCTGGACACAGGCATGTGCCACCACGCCCAGGTCCAAGTCCTTCTAGAAGAGTGTTTTATTTATGCTTTGGGAGAACTAGCTCTGAGAAATACTAACAGGCATTATGTAAAAGGAAAGAAAAGTTTTCATAGTTCAGAGTGAGAGGAATGGCTGCAGGCTTTCTCCCTTTCTTGTGAAATCACAGTGCACAGGAGTGTAATAAAGATTCTGAAAAGTCCTGCAGTAAATAAGCCATTTCAGCTGTACTTGTCCCCGGCAGCCTTGAATCCTTCTGGTCCGAGGTAGTATCTCACCAACCAGGGATCCAGCAGTAGAAAACTAAAGATGGCTGCCGGAAGTTTGGCATGGTGGTTCTCCGCTCACATCACATCCTGCCCTCCCACCACCCAAAGGGCTCCTGCTTACTTATTTGCATGAGGGGGTCATGCCTTGGACTCACACACCATGGCTACCCCTACTCTGAAGTCACAGGCAATCAGCTTCCATCAAACACTAGTACAGGACAACAGGGTTACAAATTAGGAGGATGATCCAACTTGACTTTATATCCCTTAAAAATGACTTTCCTCTTCTCAGTAACCCACTGAGTAAATAAGTGTTTGACAATGGCCCATTTTGAATTTTAAAAGGGTAAGGCCCTTCAGAGAACCCCAGCACTACTCACCGGTTTAACCCTGTGTGGCCCTGACTAATCCATGTCACAAGTATAAGTCACAAGGTAGGTAATCTCCTTTGGGCAGCAAATGCCCCATCAGTTTTCACAAGAATCCCTGCCATCCTTCCTCCCCTCCTGCAGACCTGAGGGTTGGTACCCACCTGCAGTGTCTGAGGGTGTCTTGCCGGAGTCTGGACCTTCCACCCGGGTTGCAGATCTGAGCAGCTGGCTCTGATGATGCCTGCGGTGTAAACATACAGGCTCAGGTGTATCATCCTCCACCTTCTGAATCCATCCAGGATTCTCAGGATTTAAGTGTCAGCCTGCCCTACCCATCTTCATTTGGTCATTCCACAAATATCTGTTGAGGGGCTACTATGTGCCAGGCACTGTGCCAGGTGCTAGTACAGAAAGCAGATTCCACCTAGGTCCTCCCGGAGAACCCTATCCAAAAAAGTCCATTACCTTCCACTTGCCTTGGGTAAAAGTGGGAAAGTGAGCCTAATTCTGCTCTTGTAAAAGTTTCCTCATATTTTCACTTGGAAGATACGGATGGTAACGCTTAGTTTTTAGGCTTTTGTGAAGGTAGATGAGCTGTACACAATCAGCACAGGCACAGTATGGCCCATACTCGCTTTCATTACAGATGCCTGCTCTTAGTACAAATTAATGTTTTAAAATTCAATACAGTGAGGGCTAAGAGCCAGGAGTTGGAGCCAGACAGCCTCAGTTGAATCACATTTCCCATTGGTGAGCTGCGTGGCCCATGGTGAGGGATTTCAGGTCTCTCTGTGAATGACTCTTCATCTGCAAATGTGGTGCAATAACAGTGCCCACCTCCAACAGGAGGTTGTGAAGACAAGGAGTTAATTCATGCCCAATGCACTGAGCATTTCAGATATGACTGGACTTACACCATTCTGGGATACTCAGCAATCTGGCTTCCTCAAATCAAGAGATACCTGTACCCTCTTTTCTTTTCTAACACAAGTAATCCCTGTACACCCTTTCTTGTCTGAGTCTGATCTTTTAGCTTCTACTTACTATTGTATGCATTCATGAAAGCTGTATAGGGAAGGGAGAAAAAGCATGCACCTCACAGCCAAAGCTGGTGGGTTCAAGTCTAAATAGTCCTGTTTATATGACCCTGCATGAGTCGCTGACACTGAGTCCCACTGACCCCATCCATTAATTGATCATAAAAGTTAAATGCAGCCTTATCTACAACAAAAGTCACAAGACCACACACGAGAAAATGCTTCTTCCCCGCACAGTACGGGGGAAGTATTCTGCACACCTCATCACTGGGAGGTGGGTGCTGTGACTGAAAAGCTCAGTGCTGGGCTGCGCATGGAATGTGCTCAATACACTTTAGCTGTTCTTATGATCATTGCTCTGTCTTCTCACTGGGCTACCTCATTTCATTCAGCTTGTCGTTCCTTGGACAGTGCCTGTCTAGTCTACTGAATTCAGGAATGACGGAGGAGTGGATGAATACAGTATACCTAACCTGGCCCAAAGCCCTTCCAGTGATTCCAGAGGTTGGCTGACTCTTTTTGGAGCCTGGAATCCTCATTGAGAGCTAGCTGTGGGCCACACTGTGCTAGTGCTTAATGCCTAGAGCTTATTCACCTTCCCGAAGGCCTAAAACTAGGCATTACCATTCAGGCTATCCAAGCGTGTGCTTTGAACTTGGTCTGTTTATGAGCCTTGCTGGGCTCTGTTTGCGTTATTCTTTCCCTACTTCTGTCTCAGTAAGATTCACCTCTGCAGATTCACTTCTGGGTTGGTCCGGGTTCTTCACCAGACTCTGAAATATGCTTGAGTCTCTTCTCTACTTTCTAAATTTCAACAAATTAGGACTTGGAGTACGTTACTGACCCTTTCAGAGCTTTCATTTCTTCATCTGTGAAATGGGGCTAAACCCCTACCTTTCGGAGTTGCTGAGCAGACCAGATATATGTTAAAGAGCCTGGAACTTGTGGCAGGTGATATATTAAAGACGGTGCTGTTTCATTTTACTTGCCTGAAGCTTTTAGTTCAAGTTAAATCTGCTTTGAATATTAGCTGGATATTGGAACTCTGCTGTATAAATGATTACTTTCAGTACTAAGTGTACTTTCCCCATGGACTTCCACCTTGTCTTTTGGGGGAAGGAGCCGTTGCTTTTTCTTGCTGCCTGCTTGGCACCGTGGTGGATCCAGCGCTAGGCCTGTGAACTGACTCTGGGAACACGTTCTCCGTGTCCTCAGCTCTCCTTGGTCTCCAGAGAAGACCCACTGGAAAGTTGGGTCTTCATGCTGTGACCTCACGTTCCTAGCTAGCATGTTACTGCTTTTGAAGATGGCCACAGCACGGCTTCTGAGTTGAGCAGACAGTAGCTCCACCTCTAGCTTACCGGTTGTGACTGTGATTAACTCAGCCTTTCTGAGCTTGAGTTGCTTTCACCTATAAAATGAGGAGAACACGTGATCATATTTGCAATGGGTTTATAAGATGGGGATGATGATGGATGAGGGAGCGCCTGATACGGCACTGTGACCAAGGGCCTTTTCTCCATAACATGGGGAAGCTTTCAAACGCTCTGAAGACATAAGTGTTAGCCTAGATTTAAATAAATTAGCATAACATAAACAATCGATAAGGAGAAAAATAATCCTTAATAAGCCCCACAGAGACTTGATATTTGTTACCGTGTCAGTGTGATGTATGTTCAGTTAACTGTATCAAGAGAATACTAAATGGAGAAAGTGATCGGGCCTATTTCTACCATGCTTCTAAAACCGCTTGACTTTACAATGCGGGCTGGCTTTTAAACCTTTAAAACGTCTTAGTCAGCTATTGTTAAAACTGTGTTTATGATCCTAATGATTCTCAGCCATGGTAGTGCAATATAATCTTCTGGGACCCCTTAAAACATACCCATGGTTAGTCCACCCCAGCAAACCAAAATCTCTGTCCTGGGGGTGAGCATTTTTAAAGCTTCCCAGCTGATTCTTGCAGCAGGGTTTAGATTACTGCTTTGAGGGGATCTCAGCACTGATTAGGAGTAGGGTTCCTGCGCTCAGTGACTGAGGTGGGGGTCACCGCCAGCCCCAGGTTAGAATTAGCAGGGAACTCTTAAAATTCCATGCCCCTCCCAGAGATCACAGTCTCTGGGGTGAGACTCGGGCATCTGTTCTTTTAAAAGCTCCACAGGTGGTCCCAATGTGCTGCCAGCATTGAGAAGCACTAGACGAAAAGACTTTAAAGAAAATAAGAGAAAAAGAATGTGTTCAGTAAAATCTGTGCTCACACCTGGATTTTGTAGCAGAAGTAGTGTTAACATTAAATTGCTATGGTCAACACCTAGGTATTCACAAATGGCTGTACTGTGTGTTTTTTTTTTTTTTTTTTTTTTTTTTTTTAGTACCGGAATCGAACTCAGGACCTTGCACTTGCCAGGCAGGTGCTTGTGCTGCTGAGCTATATCCCCGGCCAGCTGTACTGGTTTTAAGAACAAATCATGGCCAGCATTAAGGATGCAGGGAGGGTAGTGAACATTATTAAGCACCTACTAAAACTAGATAATTTGCCTACATCATCTCACTTAATCCACACTGTGCTTTGAGAAATAGGTGGTGCCATTCCCGTTTGATCAGGTTAGGAATCAAGGCTCAGGGACGCCAAATGATTTACATCCAGCCATTCAGCTAGTAAGTTAGGCTATAAAACCCGTGCCTTCTGCAACACTGCCTCTCCCAGGTTGGAGGAGAAAACCCGTACTTCTGACTACATATGAAAGCTAACCGACTTGTTGGATTTTCTGCTGTCTTTCCTCTACTCCCTTCCATTAGCTCAGATAAATGGTGAATGACCAAGATTCATTCCAAAAAGATGATTGAGATGTAAATTTATTCCTTGTGTCATTTTTAATTTGAGTCTTCGCTTATACAGATGGGTGGCTAAAGAAGAAGGGAACATGTGTCCTAACAATTATTCCATGTTTGGTCCCCTTTCAGTTTGGAAGCAGATTTAGAAGTACAACTAAAACTGCTAAATGCTTCTAAGTGGCTCTTTCCCAGTAAAACCTAAGTAATGAGAATCAGGACATGGAATCTGTATCTTTAGTGAACACATCAACATTTCTCCCAAGTGCCTTCGAAGATCAGTCAACTGGGGAAACCCACACACATTACGAACAGGCCTGACAATGATTTGACCTTGCCAGTCCTGCTGTGTCCCCAACAACCTCAGTGCTTCCAAATGGAAGTCAGCCCACGGTTGGCACTTCCTTCCGGTGGCATGGCTGTTGCTAACGAGGAGGCAGCCAGGACATCGGGAACTCATTTGTTTCCTACCAACTCCCTGTGAAGTTTCCAGACACAAGTCAGTGGCCCACTGTTTAACCTGCAGGGCTGGCCTGGGGCTTTACAAAGCTGTATTATACTGAACACTAATAGTAATTCCAAAGGTTTTTTAAAAAGTCCTGGCTATTTCTAAACTTATAGTCTGTTTCTTTTCTATTTCACATAAAGTAGAAAATATTAGAATTAGCAGGGAATTGCTAATTCTGGATTTAGGGAACTCAAGACTTCTGCAACTAGAAAAGAGAGCTTCTTAAATAGATTCAGTTTTCCCACCTAGTTAGTGATGAAAAAAAAAAAGTCTCACTTGATAGGAGGCACTTCTAGTTCAGTAAATACTTACTTAAATACAGTAAATATTTAAAAAATCCTCAGTACGTCTTATGTTCTCATTTTGCAACTGAGAAGTGGGTCTCAGGTGAATTCTTTTCTCAAAGTCACACAGCTGCCAAGTGATGGCCTAGCCCCCTGTTGCTGGAGACTTTGGAAACCAGTCAGGCTAGGTGTTCACACCAAGTGGTTCCTGATGGACAGGGTTTGTGATTTAGTTTTGCTTGAGGACCTCTCTGAAAATCTGACAGGTCTATCTCACCCTAAACAGACACACTTCTAGGGTCTTGGCTAAGCAGTGCTGTCTGAAGTCCTGCCCAGCAATCTGCCCTCACTTCCACCGTTGGACCTTGCGACTTCCTCACATAAGAGCATGGCCACCATTACCTCAGCACCTTCACCGTCTCCATCCACTGTGTCTGCTCACTCTCCCAGGAGTCCACCCGAATCCAGTCAGATGTCTGCAGGGCCAGGCGGGCCATGGCCACTCGGTGATGGGAAGGTACCAGGTCTTTCTTCCCGTAGTTGTCATTGACAGGTGAGATGATGCCCTCTATCACCTGGTACATTCCTAGGCAAGGGACAACAGTGAGCCTGCATGTTCAAACAGATGTTTGCCACTTGTCAGGACGAGTTCAGGCAGATGCTAAAAGTCTCTGCCACACCCTGAGTGGGAGCAGACCTTGGCATTCTCCGCTGGTGGGCAAAGGCAAAAAACACTACCTCAGTGCTCGCATGCCATTCCTCCAGAGTCTTCTACAACTCAGAGCAGTGCTTCTGGTGAGAGAAGATGGAGCCTGGGCAACAAACCCATATAGAGCAATACAGAGAGTAAAAATCAGAATATGAGGCACATTACAATGTCCCCCTCTGTGGGAGAAGAGACATACACTATGTAGTGTCTTAGCCCTAATAGAGTATGTTGAGGCTGGACAATGAGGGGATGGGATTTAGTATGATCAGGTTTGGTGGAGCATGGGATGTGGATGGTCTACACATTCCCACAGTGACTCTGGAGGGATGTGCAGTTGGTGGGAGGGAAGGCACAGACATTGGTTGTGCAATTAGCAAAGGAAAAGTGCCTGCAGATCTTGTGAGCCAATCTGGGATTTATGTGATGCAAGAGAAACCTTAACGTGTTAAGTAAGCTCCTAAAACTAGGGTATTAGTTATAGTAGCTGGACCTATACGGTCCTGACAGTGTTACTTTAAAACTCCCTGCTATTTCTACATTAAAAGCTTCTGTCATACATGGATATTGAATTTTATCAATTTTTCTCTGCCACTCCTGAAATGATTGTTTAATTTTTTCCCCCTTGGTCAGTTAATATGGTGTTGTCTTGGTCACTTTTCTCTCATTGCTGAGACAAAATACCTGATGCCCAGAATTAAGGAAGGAAAGGTTCATTTCACTCACAGTATGTGGAGGTTTCAGTTCATACTCAGCTGACTCCAAGGCAGAGTGGCACATGGCAGAGGGCAACAGTACATGGGTGGCAAAAAACAGCAAAAGCAGCAAGCGCAGAAAGGGAGGAGAGGCAGCAAGCAGCCTGTTTTCCTTCCTTATATTGTATGCAATCTATCCGCCACAGGGAGGGGGTGGCACTCACCCATAATCCCAGCATTGGACCATGAATCAATCACAAACTCTAGAAGCCAGCCCCATGGCTGCATGAGGCTTTGGGGGGACATAGAGACACAAACCATAACAAGTGTGTTGCACTGATTAATCTTCTAATCTGAAAATAACATTGCATTTCTGAGATAAACCTGATGTGGTTGAGATATAGTATCTTTTTTTATGTATAGATGTGCCAGTTGTTTTTGGGAGGGTTGACAGGTCTGTATGGTTTCCTTTCTCTTATTGTCCTAATCAGGTTTTGGGATCAATGTTGTGCTAGTCTTGCAAAGAGTGCTGGGAAGCTCCCTCTTCTTCTATACCCTAAGAGGGATTGTGTGGAGGACTGGGATAGCATTTTTTCTGGAGTATTTGTTAGGACTTACCAAGGTCTTAAGAGGCTAGAGTTCAATTTGTGTGAAAATTTTTGACTACTGAATTTTTTAATGGCAATGATTCAGATTTTCACTTCTTCATTACATTTTTTTGTCAACTTCACATTTTTCTAGGATTTTGTCCATTACATTTAAAATTTGAAATTTATTGGCATAGGGTTCTTCACAATGTTCTCTGATCTGCTTAGTGTCTGTACCATCTGCAGGGATGGACTTTTTTTTTCTTCATGTTGGTTGTGTCTACTCTGTTTTTCCTTCTGCAGTACTGTACTGCTAGGGGCTTGTTATTTTATTAGTCTTTTCAAAGAACCAACTTTTGGCCTACTGATTTTCTCCACTGAATATTTGTTTGTTTCATCACTTTCTGTTCCTATTTTCATTGATTCTACTGCATTCTTTTGGTGCAATTTTGCTGTTCTTTTGCTAACTTCTTGTGATATGTGCTTAGCTAACTAATTTGCAGTTTTGTCTTGTTTCCTAAAATATACAGTACAGGCCTTAAAATTTTCCTCTGAGTGCAATTTTTCTTTTATCCTATAAGTTTTGATAGTATTTGATAGCATAGTATTTTCATGATCATTCAATTATAAATATTTTATAATTTCCATTTTTTACATCGTTTTGATCCATGAAATAGTTAGAAGTGTATTTCTTAGTTACCAAATGTTCTGGGATTTTGGGATCATATTTTTGTTACTGATTTCTAGCTTAGTTCCACTGTAGTAAGAGAACATACTCTAAATTGATTCAAGTACTAGAACTATGTTGATTCTTGCTTTATGTCCCAGTATATGGTCAGTCTTGGTAAAAAGAATATGTGTTCTGTGGTTGTTCAGGGTAATGTTCTAGCCATTCAGTCATGATTGCTGATTGTTTTGTTTAAACCTGTGTTCTTACTGATTTTTTTGTCTGCCTGTTGTATTAAGTTACAAGAAGTCATAAAATTTCCCACTATGACTATGGATTTTTCTGTTTTTTCCTTTTAGTTCTTTCCACTTTTGTTTGATATACTTTAAGAATATATGATTAAATGTCTACAAACTTATAATAGGCATGTATCTCCCTGTGAATACAGCCTGTTTCCAGTACGAGCATTTGTTTTTAAATTTAAAGTGTATCTAATTATATAGCCTCAATAGTTGCATTTTGATTAGTATATTCATGGTATATTTCCATCCTTTATTTTCAATCTTTCCACACTTTTGTTTCAGACAAGACTTTGCAAATAGCCCACTAAATTGTCAAGTCTGACATTGTTTGACTTTTAACTCGACTATTAAGTTCACTTACATTTAATGTGAATGCTAATATATTTGAATTTAAAGCTATTATTTTATTTTGTGTTTTCTGTCACACATATTTTTAAATTCTTTTTTCCTTTCTTTAAATTTTTTAATTTCATGTTTTAAAAATATTAGAGTACAAGTTACATATTCAGTCTTATAGCCAAAGTAAATGAAGACTTTTGCTCTCCTGCTCAGTAAGATGAGGACTTCAGGACTGTATAACTCTACCATGCTGATGACTTACAAGTCATTGTTACTGTAGTTTTAAGTCTATCTTTCTCTTTTTCTATTGGACCTTACTATTTTCTTTTATGCTACCAATGTACATTTAAATGTGCTCATGTATTTTCCCTTTTTCTTGTATTTAATTTCTTCCTACGTATCAGACTTAATATTTGGGAATCACTCTCCTTCTGATAAAATACATCCTGTAGTTTCCTTGAATTAGTGACTTCACTCTTGAAAGACATTTTCAAATTCTCAGTCTTGGAAAATGATTACATTGGGTATAGAGCAATTTGCAATATTTCCTTCCACAGTTTGAAATTATTGTTCCTTTTTTATTGTTGGTTTTGACAAGTCCTCTAGAAGTACCATTCCTGGGAAGTAATCTTTATTTTATGATTGATTTAAACATTTTCCTTGTCAACCTATGAATTTCTCTTTACTACCCTGTTTTGGGATCACTGAGTCTCTTAAACCAGTGGATTGGTGTCTTTTATTAGATTTGGAAAATTCTTAGTCATTACCTCTTCAGAAATAACCTCTGTGCTCCATCATCCTATTTCTCTCTGCCCTTTTATCATATATACGGAGCCTGCAGTCTGTTCTCTTCTCTTCTGGAATTTATAAAACTCCCTCTGTGCTGCACTCTGGATAATTTCACTTGCTCTATATTCCAGTTCATTAAGTTTACATTTTGGCTCTGTTGATGTGATTCAAAATCCTTAAGCTTTCTTTCATTAGCATCTTGTAATTTTCAGGACACAAATTCTACACATGAGTTTTAAGACTTATACCTAAGTGTTTTTTCTTTTTAGATAATTTTAAATGATATTTTAAAATCTTTGATGTTCACTCTTTGATATATATATATATATACATTAATCTTTGTCTTGCAACTGAAATTCTTTTTTTAAAAATTTATTTATTTATTTTTGGTTTTGGTTTTTCTCCGGTACCGGGAACCGAACTCACGACCTTGCACTTGCCAGGCAGGCGCTTTGCCACTGAGCTAAATCCCCAGCCCCGCAACTGAAATTCATTCTGGGAAAGTTTTTGTAGATTTGGTCGGGTTTTCTACAAAGACAATCATGTCACATGTACATAATATTTTTTCTTTTCCAAAATATATGCTTCTTATTCTTTGAGACCTTTCCTTTTTTTCTAACGTAAAAATTTAGTAATAATTTCCCTTTTTGCTATACTTTGTCTATATACAACATATTTTGATTTGCTGCATTTTTATTTTTATTTAATTCCCTATTTTAAAAGTTTCTTTGAAATGTTCTCTTTGGTCTATGAGTTGTTTAGAAGTAGGTTAATTTCCAAGTATTTTGATATTTCCTTATTGTTTTTATTTTTTTATTAGTGCACGTTTGCATTGCATAATGATTACATTCCCTGTAGGGAGTTGGTACACATCCATAACTCACTTCAGTTCTTTTGTCATCCTTTTTCCTGTATTGATCTCAGCTTGATTCCACTGTGGTCAGAGACCATACTCTATCTGATTTCAATTCTTTTAAACTTGTTGAGATTTGTTTTATAGTTTAGAATATGGCCTAGCCTAGTGGATACTCCACCCATGCTTGTAGAAATATATGTGTTCTGCTTTTGTTGGGTCATGAGTTTTTTGAACATCAGCTACAGCATGTTAATTGCATAGTTCATTTCTCCTCACCTGCTTTTTGGTCTAGCAGTTTTGGTTTTTTTTGATAGTGGGAGTCAAACTCACGATCTCGGGCTTGCCAGGCAGGCACGGTGCTGATGAGCTATATCCTTGGACCCTGGTCTAGTAGTTCTGTCAGGTAGAAGTCACTGCTGACAGTGGGGTAATGAAGTCCCCACCTATAATTGTCTGTTTTGTCTATTTTGCCTTTCAGTTAGATTCATTTCTGTTTCATATAGTTCAAGACTCTGGTTTCTTAGGGCCAGGGATATAGCTCAGTGGCATAAGCACCTGCCTGGAAGACTCTCATTTTTTGTGTGTGTACAGTTAGGGTTGTTAATTTTCTTAGTGACTTTTTCTTTGACTTCTAATTTTGTTTAT